ATCACTGTGCGTGTTTAATGTGAGAGAAATATAACACTTACTACCATGACGCATCCTATATTCTTCATTCGGATGCAAACTTCTTTTCCCTTTTGCTGAACGCAGATATACCGTGCTAAACACGCTGAAGGTAACAAATACAAATGACAAACTTATTTTGAAACCCATCTTCTCGTGTGTTGTGTCTCTTGATTCAACTTCTAGCAGTTACGTTCGATTAATGTAATATATGCTTCTCTAAAAATTTTATTAATAATTATTATACGTACTGATCTAAAATTACATAAATTTGATTTTAATCAAAAGATTATTTATAAAATAAAAGATTAATGTTCAAACATATAACAATAAATCATAAAATCTAATCTGATTTATGTACACAAATTTACAAATTGTTTCAATAGATAACGTGATTTATCAGTTTTTGACAATAATTTTAAAGCGTAAAATCAGCACTGTTTATTATTCATTACATGCATGCAAGAAAATGGAATGTAGCTTTGTAAAGGAACTACGAATAACATTGTAAAATATTAATGATTATTTTCTCGATACGTTTAATATGCAAAATTGTTTGTGTCTATTAATCTTATTCGTTTAAATGGAATTCGCAAGTTCCGCAGTATTTGGTCCCGTCACGATTAACGCATAAACTAATTGTAGTCTGTAAATTTTTTTGCGTTATAGTTACGGTTGCGTTATAGTTGCGTGTATAAATATCAAACAGCACTTTGAAAGGAAATCGTTAATGCGTAAGATTTGCTTATAAAAGAGCAAAACTTATTATCCATATTATATTCAGCAAAATTGGTTTGCACATTATTAAATTAATGAAGTAAATTAATACGGTATGGTTTTTAAGAAATTTATGTGTTAACTAAACAAAATTAAAATGATAAATAAATCATATTGCTCTTGTTTGACTTTGATTTTGACTTTGATTTTGTTATCCCTTCTTATTTTTCAATACCTATCAGTATAAAGATTGACCTTTTGAAGTTGAAAACAGTTATTCCTGATATACAACAGATAAAGTAAACAGAAAACTGTGCTAACTTAGTATGATTTTAAATATTCAAATTTTTATGTTCTTTTTTGAATAAAAAAAGTATTTTTAATTATCAATAAAAAATAAAATCTTGAGTTGTATATTTGTAATAAAATGTGCACGTATAACTAAAATTTATTCTAATTTAAAGTCTACTTGTGTAAAAGTGAAATTAATAAACTTTTTATCAAGTCAAAAATATACTTTTATATCTGTTTTCTCCCAACTGCTGTATCTTTGAGTGTAAAATCTTGTAGTCACAAATTTATATATGAGAAAGATATCTTGACTGTGTGCAAACAACTGATCTACCAGTGACAGAAGACACGATAAAGTTCATTACACTCTATCAAACTTATAAATATTTCTTTTATATATTTTTTATATATATTATATATGAATTATATATTATGTTATATTATTATATATACAGCTAAAGAATTCTTTGTTGATTCTTTTGTTTTTATATTACCATTATTAATTGTTAGAATTAAACAATCATTTTCAACTTTATTATACGTATATTATGTTATATTATTATATATACAGCTGAAAAATTCTCTGTTGATTCTTTTGTTCTTATATTATCATTATTAATTGTTAGAATTAAACAATCATTTTCAACTTTATCATACGTTGTATACTTATTTATAAATTTTTTTAAAGATATTTATAGGCGTATTGCCTAATGGATTGTGTTCGACTTGGTTGAAATTATGAAACCAATTCCTTAGAAAAATATATTTTATTTTTCCTCGTCAGAGAAATAGAGTAAATGTACAAGTTTTGTTTGATTTAATTGATTGCGCCAGAGGCGCTTTCTCGGCAAAAGTGTAAGGCCGAGAGTCAAAAGAAAATTGACGGGCGCGGTAAGAAATTACCGGCCGCGTCTTATAGCGTTTTCGATTATACAGGATTTGAACGACCCAGGGTTGATCAAT